TGCAGTGTGTGTGGGGTACATCTATATGGGCCTGCCTGCAGCGTGTGTGGGGTACGTCTATATGGGCCTGCCTGCAGAGTATGTGGGGGGGTACATCTATATGGGCCTGCCTGCAGCATGTGTGGGGTACATCTATATGGGCCTGCCTGCAGAGTATGTGGGGGGGTACATCTATATGGGCCTGCCTGCAGTGTGTGTGGGGTACATCTATATGGGCCTGCCTGCAGTGTGTGTGGGGGGATATATGTATATGGGCCTGCCTGTGGTGTTTGCGTGTGTGTTAATCTGTTATGGGGGGTATATTGGGCCTCTAACTCCCCTATAACCAGCAGTGTGTTCAGGCATTCTGATGAGAAACAGAGGAGGGTTTTTTGTTTCCTTTAAAAATCTTGCTGAAGCATATGTTTGAGCAAAAGGTGTTGTGGCTCTGCCTGAATCCCGCTCTCCATCCCCATCTCCCCTGCCCCTCCTGTCTCCTCACGCTCCATTTTCCCTTCGGCCCCGGGAGAGGTGAAGCGTGAATCCTCTGCTGCAGCTTCTGGGAGAGAGTGATTCCTGTGTCACGTAGACAACTCGCTGTAGGAGCTGACTATGCTGGAGAAGGAGGAAACCTAATGAGTGTGCGCCAGCAATTCCAAACACAAGAAGCGAGTCAAAATTTTGGCTAGCGGATTGTTTGAGGCAGTTACACCAGCCAGCCCCCAGGTTGCTGTCCCAGGCAAGCAAATTTTGTTGCCTTCCTGCGCTGACAGCACAATGCGTGTTCTGTCTTGTTAGCATCACCTCGGCACAAAACAATAGGACTTGACCTGTTTTGAAGCTTAGAAACTCGTTCTTGTGAGTGCTGTGGAGCCCGTTACGTTGTGTGGTTATATACGTGTATGGGGCACTGGTTTCTAACAAATGGGGGCATGGAGGCTGCCAGTCCCGTGGGGTGTATGTCAGCATCCACCAAAGTCACCTGAGCTATTGCAGTTCATGTAATACATGGATGCTTTATTATCATTTAATCTTCTATACTATTATATATATTATTAAATCTTCCATATGTAAAATTCAAAAGCAGATAACAAGACACATCCATTGAAATAAGTGTTTGTACCATCCATTGAAATAGAGGTTTGTATTATGTTAGCCTTACCGTGAGTAGCAGCCTGCAGGGAAATGAGCTGTTCTTGCTGTTGTATCCTGAAAAATGCTGTGAAACACACACACAGGCTCAAAGTTGCTGCTCCATCTGAGGAAGGATAGGATTTGCCCTGCTGAGAAAGAAGCTTGTGATACCATTACTAGTTAAGTCTGTGATGCTGCTTATACATCCACTTTTTTATTACCTTGAGTAGCCCAACTTATTTAACTGGTGCTATCTCTTTTAGTACCAATAGCAAGGTGCATCAGAGGTAGAAGACCTGGGGCTGAAATCCTGAGCTGTGGGTGGATGAGCCTTGCATTGGAATGGAACAACTTAGTCCATTTTGCACTTGAATTGCTGTTGGAATTTAATCATCCTAATCTTGTACCTCCTGCCTGATGGCCTTCATAGAGGGAAGCTCTGCAACTGGGAAGACCTCTCCTAAGTTCTTACCATGTCAGAAGTATCTGTTACTAAAGAACCCTCCGGAAAATGTTGTGGTTTAAATATGCAACATATTTTAAGCAGTAGATTTAAACACATGAAGTGTCAGTGATATTTTTAGAGGTGCGATGCCATATATTAAGATATTTTTTGATATATGCAGAAGACCTCAATAATATTTTGCTTTGGCCTAAAATTTGGGCAAATATTACCTATTTAGAGATTCCAAAAAGTGTTTATACATTGGTGTTAACATGACTTTTTTTTTTTTAATTTCTGCTTAAGTCTTAATCTCTTAAAAATTAAGCATACTGTTTAGTTGACTTTTAAAAATATACATTAGAATTCATTATTTATAATTTCTTGTTTTCTGAATGTAAAATATAATAGTTGATTCATGAGAGTTAGGACTGAAGAAAATTGTATTTGTACTTTATATAAGTTCTGCAAAAGTTTTTGAAACTGGTCGTGTTTATCAGTTTATAATTCTGGTATTTCAGCACAACAAAAATTGTTGAAGTTTTAAGACTGACTCATTTGCTATCCATTGTTGGAAGAAAAATAATTTTCTGAATGACAGAGTGGTTTTGAATTGAAAAAGAAGCAATTGTCTTAAATAATTTAACTTCAGATAGATTTTGCAGTCACTTACATAGTAAAGTATTTACTCTATATGACCCTTTCACTTATTTAACAGAATAATTCCCTATGTAATTCTTCTATAGCATTATTGTTTCTAACAAAGAATGTCTTTGATCCATGGGGATTTCTGTAGCGATAGCCTGAATGCAAACATTCTGAAGAATTGCATTTACCTAACAACAAAAGCTATATGGTTTGTAAAACATGAATGAAAACTAATGTGTGTGCGAGCTGACTTGCTGAAGTTTCGCTCGAGTCAGCGAAATGGAAGTTGAAGTTCATCTCAGCGTATTTTAGCAGGTCCTTTTCATTTAAAAACAATGATAGAACCTGTGGAAGTTTGTGGATGCATTTAACTTGTTTGAAAGTGGTGAATGTGACAGTTCTATTCAAACAGTTAACGGTGCTTAACAATACATTGTACCTTTTTTTTTCTTTTTTTTTTTTTTTTTAATAAGCTGCTGCACAGACCTGAGAGGCCTTTTTTTCCTTTTGTATGGAAACTTGCTGTTGTGGCTGCTGACTGCTCAGCAGAATGTGTTGTTCGTGGAATATAGGATGTTCTGTGTCAGTTTTTCTCCTTTTTTTTTTAAATTTAAAAAATATAAAATTACAATATCTGGTAGTAATAGAGGCGTGATTAGTCTAAATATGTCCTTGACTCGGTGCTTTCAGCCTATCAGCGGTGGATAACGATTCTTGCTTAACTGAGACAGAATTAGTGGGGGAGTGTTTGGCTGGTGAAAATGGGAAACTCAGCCTTGACCTGCTAGTGAAGGAGTAGGCACACAAAGATTCAAAGAATAAATAAACAGGAAATGCAATAAGGTCTTTTTTTTACTCAGTACAGTATGTGTAAATATAATGCCATATGTATATCTAGACACACACATATGTACGTTGTACTGAAAATAGTTTTTTCTGTACTCTTGACTAATAAATAAATAGGGTGTGTAATCTGAATGATTTTTCCTGTCAGTCTTTATTCAAATAAAACTGGAGGCCCTTTTTTGTAAGGAAGAGGCAAAGTAATTTGGTTTTAGTTTGTAAAATTGGGTGAGTGAATGAAATAGTGTGGCTGAGTAAAAAGATTATGTTGTATAAATATATTATGATTTACGGGGCAAACTGTGCAAAATATACTGTATATTTATGTAATAATTCTACATATTTTCTAGAGGTGGCAACAACTTGCTAATTGTAGAATCACAGAAAGAGATTTCTTGATGATTTTTTTTTTTTAAACTTTATGAAAGTAGTGCCTGTTCTTTTAGAGTCTGCATGACTCAGCAAAGAAAAATTTTAGACACTCATTTGGAACATAAACTAATATTTTCATTTTTCGTTTTAGGAAAGATGCAAATGCCGCATTGCTAAGTAACTTTGAGGTAAGTTTATCTGTGTCCTGGTTTTAAACCAGCAGTTTAAAGCTGTAGTTGTCACTTGTATGCTTCTTTGGAAGCTGAAAATTGCCAGTGGCAATCAGCAAGACCTATATGTGATTTCCACACCCTCCATTTGATTTGTTACTAAGAAAAAAGCTTTTTAAAGAAAATCTAGTTTTCTAGAAAATTACTAGTTTTCACTAGTAATTGGTACTGTATTATTTGGCTGGTCCCACATCTATAAAACCAGATATAAATAGGTTTTTCAAATAGATGAGGATCAGATCTTTAGATGTCAGTAACTTTAACTTCAGCCTTGTCATATTTACACTGCTGCTGTGTGGTTAGTTTGTTGAAATCTCTTGTGTATAGTGGTTTGTTATTTAGGATTTGATTCTCCACATCTTTGAACACTTGGGTATTTGGGCAAGTGCGCTGGATTCACTGGTGCCTCGTGTCACATATGGTGCGTCGGATCCCAAATCGGGAATGTTAACACCTCTGTAACTGAGCAGCAATGTCCAGAATAACTTTTTTTAAATTTTATCATATGATAAGCCAATATACCACCAAGTGTGTGGCACACTGATTGCTGGAGTCTCTTTAATATTGCAAATAAAAATTCTCGCTGAAAAATTCAAACATTTTTCACAGATGGCTGCTGCTAGAATCACTGTTTCATATTTAACCTTGTGATGTGCCTATAAATCACACCCTATAACTCATTAATGCATAATTTCTTAAAGCAAGTGCTACTGGAAATGCAGTCTTACACCTCTGAATGCTTGACAGTATTTTTTTAGAGATCTTGAAGTGTTTCCAAAGCAGGTTAGGTTATAGTAAGCATGAGGCAGTTTGCTGATCTGAGATGTGTTACTCAGGATAAACACTCCTAGAAGCCAGTGACGTACCTTGATGCGGTGTCATGGGAAAACTACAGTGCCCTGTCATAACCAACAATGAATACAGGCATACAAATAAAACAATAATCTTATTTTCTGGTGTGGCTAAGTTCTGAATCATTTTCCTCTCTCCTGAGTAAAGGTATTTTTTTTAGTGAGGTAGAAAGAAATGTAGTGTTCTTGTTGGTTTAACTTCAGCCAGGTAATGGAAAGATTTCAGTGCTTTGTTTATGAACGTAGTTTTTTGAACGGTTTTAATAACCCAGGTGCTTTGCTTATATTGTTTTATTGCGGAAGCTTGGAAGTTGCACAGCTGTTTCATCCTATTCTGAAATAAATCTTGAAGTTTTTTCTCTTGAGCTGCATCTGTCTGCATACGGCAGAGCAACCATCTGGTGACTGTTAGAAGAGCTTTAATGAGGTACTTGGAAAGAACTGTCTTGCCTAAGAAATAGATGCTATTATGTCAGCCAAATTAGTATTAAGTGTCTGTTTGTTAAAAACATGTGATATTGCAGTACAGAAAATAGCAAATATTTCTGAGATTATTTATTGCAAAATCATCTGTGCTTCCTTCTTCGTTTGTTGGGATATTTGTTGGAATCTAGGTATTACTGCCTGCTGCGGTTCAAGTAGTGGTGTCGGTCACATCATGTAAAATCTATAGGTGCCCTAAAAGTATGGTCCAGAATAGGGAGAATCGCAGAATCCACTCCTCATGCTCTTCAGTCAGAACTTCATCTCAGTCTTTTTTGTTGGTGAATGTACCATGTGTGTTGAAAAAGAGCAAAAGGAAGTGGAAAACGAAGTTACTGATGAGAGTGCTTATTTCTCATTTCCCTTTCAGAGCAGTTGTCACGCATGCAGCTTTTCGATTCTTTGCAGGAAGGGATTTGCATTGTCTGCAGCTATAGGGTTTTGGGGCATGGCTTTCCACTGCTCTTCCAAGTACCGACTCCCCTAAAACTACCGATCTCTTTGTGTTTGCTCCTCTTTGCAGTTGCAGTTTGACTGGCATAGCTAGCATTCTCTTTATCAGGGTAATATTTTGCACAGAAAGTGGCGTTTGAAAGGAGTATTCAGGACTGACATGTTGTATATCCTATGCCTACATTTATTCTGTGAGTTTGGAGTTGCCATTTTGTATCTTGTTGTCACTGGCTATATTTTCTTCAAATATTTAATAGATAAAAGTTCATCGCTTCGGTTCTGGCTTTCAAGTGAGGATTGATTACTGGTGGTTGATACACAAGGTGTTCTTTTTTCGTAGAAGACACAGTATAAAGTAATTGCAGGATTCATAGCTGGTAATGTTCTTATTTCTCACTGTCTAGAAATGTTTGTATTTTATTTCTATGGACTTGTCAGTATATAATGCCATTGGATCTGGACCTTGAATGAAGCTAGTCAAAAATTAGGGGATAAACAGTAAGAAGTGGTCTGTTACTTTGCTGTGGTTATTGGCTCTGGATATACCGTAAAGCCTGAAGCAAAACATCTGAAAAAATTTCAACCTAATGTGATTTAATATGGAAATAAAGAATAATTGTGATGCTGTCTCAACATTTTGCTGCATATCTAGCTATGATGAATAAAGATGTTGTGTTGCAACAGATTTAACAAAGCACAGTTGCAAAAATCAAAATGTCTTCCTTGCCTTCAGACTTACCTTCTGAATCTCGCTCCTACATTAATACTCACTGCATCAGGAATGTGAAGACAACTTTATTACACTCTTTTCAGGAATGTCTGCTTGTATTACGTTGTTGCAGTGAAATAGGGAGCTAATTTAATCTTTGTGGCTTAACATACTGTAACACCATGCTGGTCACTGTAACATTTACTATTATGAATAACTCCACTGGAGTTTACAATAGGATCACTAATCTCAGGAGCATCTATAGGTCAAGCCTTTATTTAGTTGGTTCCTGGCAGTGTGACAGTTGTAAAGTTTACTTTTTTTTGCAGATAATGTAAAATTGCATCTTTGCGAGACAGGATATATATCCATTTTAATATTATGAGCACATCTGTCATAACAAATCCAGTAGGGCCATAAACTTGTGTTACATTTTGCTTCAAGCATCACTCATATTTAAATGGGAGCTCTGTGCCGGTACAGCAGGGTATGACCCAACTCTGTTCGGGACATGAGATAAGATAAACAAGTAGGATAGATTCATCCTGGCAGCTTCTCCTTTGGGGCTCTTGGATAACATTTAGCAAGTGCTGAAAATCTGTTTAAAATAGTCACAGTTTAAAAAACAAAACAAAACAAAAAAAACAACAAACCCAAACAATTTACATACCTATTCATCATTCTGGTGCCAAAATGTTTTTCATTTCAGTTGCTGGTGCATTCACCAAAGCAGCCATGCTTTTTTTTTTGTTGTTTGGTTGATAGGATTTTGCGTTGTTCATTTATGTTTTCCTGCTGTAATATTTTTAGATAAAATACTCTCAGATGGTCTAAAACACTTTATTTTTTTTCCCCCAGGTGTTCCAGTTACTTACTGATCTTAAGCAGCAGCGCAAAGAGAGTGGAAAAAGCAAGCAGAGCTCTGGTCAGCAGAATCTGAACACAATCATGTATGAAGTGAGTAGCACTGTGAGATTCCTTTGCAAATTAGCCCAAGCTGCAGTACTTTGCATCCTTAGGTCTGTGTATTAATAATTTTGTATCAAATTTTCCCTATTAAAAAACACAGTAAAATATGTTATTTGCCACTTCCCTGTGGTCAGTTTATTCAGGTTGGAGGCTAACTGCGCTGTCAGAGTGGAGACATGTAGCTGCTCTTATTAAAATCTATCAGAAAAAGATTAAGAAAAGCCCTGGTTTTTAACTGTTTAGTTTTGTGGGGTTTTTTTATTCCAAATATTCTATCCTTTTAAGACCCAGGGCAGAACTTGCTATCATCTGATGAATTGATGATACCATGTAATCATGATTTCAAAGCTGAGGCACAGATCACATATGGTATTTTTTTTATTAACAGAATTAAACTAATAATTTCCAAGTAAAATAGATTTTTTTTGTGTGTGTGTGTCAGAAGAATAACAAAATCACATATACATATAGCAACAGCAGTCGGATGCCAGACTGGTAACAAATGTATAATCTATTGCTAGGAAGCACTTCTAAAATTTTGTAATGCAAATATTAACATTTGAAATATCTCAAATTAGCAACTTCATAACAGACTTGCAGAATGACCTATTGTGTCTGTGTCAGAGAACTGCATGAGTAGCACCACGATTGGCAGTGAGTTGAAAACAGTTTGCCTTGCTTGCATGAGTAATCCCGTTGAGCAGTGAAACTACTCATGTGAATAAGATTTGGCCTAGGCTTTGTTTTTGTTTTAGTTCTGGCTTTGTTTGAAAAGGTATAGGGTTGTAATTCCTAAGCCTCGTATTCAACAAATAGGAGCTTACAAAAAATCTAATTTAAGTCTTCATGGAGACTAACAGTCTCTTCCTGTACCTCTTTGAAACAGCTGAGAAAGTTCCTGTAAGTATATTTTGTCAGAATGCACCTTAAAGCTTTAGTTACCTTGTTATATTACTATGTGTTAAATACTTATAGGATGCTTGGGTTTGTGCATGGAGTGAAGCTGGTGTAAACTCTGGGTATATTTTCTCTATATTTGAGTGAAAGAAAACCAGAATTTGACCTTACAGGATTGTCTTTGTTCATGCTGAGTATCTCTTCATGTGCTCTGTGCAGGCTTGTATCCATTGGTACTGAAATAACTAGATGAAGCTTGCTAAACTGGAGCTATGTTTTGCTGTATGTCTGGCATTTTAATTGATTTGAAATTGCCAAAAAAAAGACTAAACTGGAAAAGAAATTACTGCTATTGAATAATTTTATTACATGACAATATGACGTTTTCATTTCAGTCATTATTGGTGAATAACAACTCAATTTTATCTGAAAAGGTCAGACAGGGCTTACAGAAAGGAGGGTTATCTAACACCTTATTGTGCTTTTAAATATATTTCTCAGTAGTCCAGTGAAACTGGTCCTTAACAATGATTCATATTTCCTTAAGTGATTCATATTTCATCAACACTCTATCTGTTAAGTAGGATGAATTATCCTATGTTGTTGAAGTCTGTTTTCCCTTTACCTAGCATTTTTAAATGATAACAGATTTGAATGGAAATACATTCACATATTTTCTTATTTGCCATACTGATCTTGTAGCTCATTTTTTACCGTATCTGTTTTTTTCTGCTCTGTGAATTCTGATCCAGCTTTTGTGGCTTCTGATTTTTCAACTATAAATACTCAGTTTAAAGATTTTCTGAGAAAGAAACTCAGAGTATCATGTAGAATTTTATGGGGTTTTATTATTATTATAGATAATGTGTGCATGTGGTATCCTACCACACGTGTGTCTGTATTTGCAATCCACTTAGTGCATCATGAGTCAGTTGTATTGATACTCTAAGCTTTATGTATAGCTATGCAGTATCAACAGATGAAGATTTCCTTCCTTAATTCAAAACAAGCATTGACAATACTCTCTTAAATCCTTCTGTTGCTGATGCACACAATGCAGACAATGCAAGGATTTCCTTGACTTTTCCATTGATGCTCATTATTTCCGACTCCATTTTGGGGTCTAATCCAAGCAACAAGCAACATGCAGGAAGATTCTAAACTACTTCCAGTGAAAAGACAGCTGTAAAATGGAGTTTGTGTGGGTTTTTTATCAACAAATTTTTTTTCACTCATGTCAAATTATATTATGTATTATCTGTCTGCTAGGTGTTGTGATGTTTTAAATAAAGCAAGCAGATGTAATATCTGCTGCAAAAGTTAGCTGAGGTTGGTACGTGTTACACGTAAAAAATGGAGCACAGATAAGTTGTCTCAAGTCAGATAAACATTTCTAAACTCCAGTGTTCTTGCAGATTTTCATGACAACCCACCTAACCTGCCTCTATGAACTTTAAGAAAGCATTGCCAAATATGCATATAAAGGGTGAAAACAACCATAGATTGGAGAGCTTAATCAGTTATTTATGGGTTGGCAGTGAGAATGTCCCTGGCACTGAGCACATGAAAACTGCAGAAGGTAACATGGTTTTTAGGATGAATAGTATTCAACTTTTCTGAAGTGTTACTGCTTTTAAAAAACAAAAACCAAAACAACAAAAAATAACACCACAAAAAACCCCAACCCTCCCTATCTTGGTACCTTTTTAAACTAGCTTTGAATCTGTAAATGCTTGTTGGTTTTAAAAGGAGAGGTAAATCTGAGTGATGCTATTCAGCACAGCTGTAAGTATGTCTTGATCACAGTCTTAGCATCACCTGAGATTATGTGAAACCAAGAAAGCAAATGTCTTTCACAAACAGCAGGTGTTTTTTTCAGTAGACAGAGCTGAAACCTGCTCCTTTCCTGTACTCTTCAATATGCGACTTTGGGCTTTGGACAGATCAGATAAATGGCCGTCCAAAGCCACAGAGGGAATAGTCAAAGCTGTAATTCTCACCTGGGTGTGTAGTGAGCTGGCTGGGTTATGTCTTTATGGAAAGAATTCACTGAGGCTTTCTGGATAAGTACTAATGTCATTTCCATTACATAAAGTTGTAGTTACATATTGCCTGTTTCTTACTCACTCAGCAAATATCAGTATAGTCTTACTGAAGACAGAAAAGTGTGAGTGATCTGTGTCATCTATGACAGCACTTTCCACTGTTTTAAAAAAAAAAAAAAAAAAGAGTAAAAAGCCAACCCCCAAAACCTGAATTGACTTTTCCAATTTTTCTGAGTAGTACTGAGGGGACTTTTCAAAATCGGCTTGTTTCATACACAACTGGTAAAGCAAATAGTAACTGTGAAATAATGTGTACTTTCTTTCTATTTGTTGCAGACGCTGAAGTACATTTCAAAAACACCCTGTAGATACCAGAGTCCTGAGACTGTGAGAGATTTCCTCGTAGCAATGAAAGGCCATAAGCTAACCAAGTAAGTAGAGATGTGCCTTTGAATAAAAGTATAAACTCATGGCAGTGTTGAAAAACTGATCCCCATGTACACAGTATGATAATCTGTCTGGTTTTGATTAACATATTTTAAGTATTTTCTGCCATTACTTAAATATTCATCCAAACATTTTTTTCCTTCACTCATTAACGCCTACATGGATCAGTATTTCCTTAAGCGGGCTTGTGTTTACCAATGTATTTCTCACAGATTCTTGTCAGTATGTTGGTTTTTAGCATGGTTTCACATGGTCCAAGCACAAAGTAGAGTTCATAAAATGTTTTCTGAGGAAAAAGTTGTAAGTTGTAAATGGGTTTTGAACACAGTAAGAGAGCTGCAAAAAAACCCCCAACCCAACCTTGGTTTATTATCAGTCTTATTTTTATGAAGTTCCGTAAGCAAAAATGCATTCATTCTTAAGAGGCAAAAAAGGTGACTATATTGCAAGGAGGTAATAAGTAAATAAAATCCTAATATAGATGTATGGGAAGGAATGTTATTCTGAAGTTTAAGTTTTATGTGAATCTGTGAACCCCAATTGCTACAGATCATCTTTCAGGGTTTGACTGACATTTAGCAAACTAAGATGTTAATACTCTCTTTTTGTGCTGTTTGATATTTATGTCCGCTAGGATTTCTGAGATGTACATTTCAGTTACCTAAATATTGTGTCAATCAACCTCCCCTCCCCAACAGTTTCTAGTAAAGCCGAACATACAGTTCATTCTTCTCGTTTTGGGAAGTCCTGCATAGAAAAGATTTCCTTCAGAGACTCAAAGGGCATTTTTCCTCTTTGGCAGGGGTGTGAATGCCTGTCCACAGTGCTTGAAGCGCGTGATCCTCTTGAACCTCTCTCCAGAGTGTGAGTGAAGCCTGTTGTAAATGATCAGACCCAAAAGAAATTGAATCAATTGGCTACTTGCTTGGATGGTTCTAATCAGTCATCTGATTTTTAAAGCAGAAAAACCAAAGATTTAGTTGCTTCTAAATGACTCTTCTTCACCACGAAGGAGTAGTTTATGCTGTATAGACACTGACTGCATTTTTCTTCCCTGCTGGAAGGACTCCCAAGGAGTTCATGCTCTGGGAAGCAGGCTCTTATTAATAATTTGGTTCTGTTGCAAGAAGAAACGCAAAGTGAGAGCATCTGGACAGTGCAGGGCTAACAAGGCAAGTTTTTACCCTGTCCAGAGCATAGTAAGTTGAATAGAAAGCAGATTGTCAGCCATTTGACTTTCAGTGCCCCCTCTCTACAATTATGCTCACATCCAGTATATCAGCAGCTCTGATCACAGTATTGCTGTCATTGCAGACACAGGGGTGCTAGTACTTGCAAGCTTTGTCATGGGTATTGTAGCTTTGCTTGTAGTGCTTTCTTCTGTAGAGCTGAAGTTGCCAGGTCAGTATGTCGGTGTTTAGTCCTCCCATAGCTCCTTTTATATAGCAGGATACTAATTTATGTAGTGGGCAAGAATATCCTAATTATTTTCTGACATTGAGGTATTCAAGTATGGAGAAAATACTCTGTTTACTGTAAAGAGCTGATAGCATGGAAATGAAAGAGAGTATCTTAAAATCGGCAATAAACTATTTCTTTTGAGTAAGTAGCAGGTATCCCTGATTTCTGTGAAACTGTGAAGCAGTCATCCTCTTTGAAGTGAAATAAGCTTGTTCAGTTTGTGCAGCGCAGCACCAGAAGAATGCTGCATCATAGCAAAAAGCCAGGGGGAGTTAAAAAGGCAGAATAGGATTTAAGCAGCTGAATGAGTCCCATTAAAAGTCAAAGGACTTCTTTTGTTTTAATGCTCATTTCTGAACTTCTTTCTGGTAGAATTTGACGAGGATCTCAGGGTTAATTCTTACCAAAAAGGCAGGGGGAGCTCTGTTATCACATTAGATACCTTGACCACATCCGCTCCCCCATATGGTGTCTCTGAGAGTGAAGTACTAAATGATGTTGGGTCATAATGCAGAGAATTCTAGCTACAAAATGTCTTACAGTCTCCCGTACTGCCTAACTATTTTGTAGAAGATCTACCCAAATATTTGCCTTCCCAAGCCTGCCTGTTCTTTGAACTTGAATACAGCACTGCTGCAAAGGTTGACACAGTTACAAGCTTTAAATGAGCTTTTTGACTGTTTTGTCTTCTTTTTATGGATGCTAGGAGGTGCCTTTAATTTTAGGCATCATCTTCTCTGTCCTTTTTCTCTGAATCAGGGTCTGTAAGGCAAGCAAGAGAATTACTACCAAGTAATTTCCTTCTGCATAATGGCAGAAGGACAAGAGTGAAGAGCCATCCACTAGTTTAGGTTACAGATTTACCACGTTTATGGCTTATCAGAACTCAGATTGGACTGGGATACCTTAGTTTCTTGAGCATCCTCTACAACTTTACTTTTAGTTAATATCTTTGTCATCTGGTAAAGAACTTGCCAGCACTGCATTTGCCACGTACTTTACAAAATAAGAAACAGAATTGTTTAGTGTGATCCTGGCACTTTTTCTTTCATCTAATCTTTTCCATTCAGACACTTCAAACTAGGATTGTTTAGTGTGATCCTGGCACTTTTTCTTTCTTCTAATCTTTTCCATTCAGAGACTTCAAACTGGAAGTATCGGAGCCCATCTGGCAGCCTCTTCTCACCAAAACACAGAAAGCATATGGTGTGCAATCACTATATAATGCACTTTATGTTAAACCACTTAAAATAATAATGCCTCCAAGGAAATTTTGAACTACCCTTTGGTTCATAACCAAGATCATTTCAACACTGCTCTATTGTTAAATAACTTAAAGACTAAGGCATTAATCATTTCCATTCTGTGGGATGGAGGTGGTATTTGTTGAAAAGGCTTCACTAGAGATTTCGTTTCAGTTAGCTGGTAGAGAGCTTTCCTCCCTTTGAGAGGAAAGAACCTGCAGTATTTGCTCTCCAGGACCTTGCTTACATGATCTCGCTGTAATGACCTTTCCTCCCACAAAGAGTAATGAACTCCAGAGTCTGTCTTTGCTACTTCCTTTCTGGGTAAGGCATTCAAAGATGTGCTTTCTCCCTTAATCTCTTAGCTGGTCATATGCTGTCTCTGCTGGTAACAGTTTTCTGAAGGTAGCCGATTTGCTTTAAGATATATGTTAGTTGGTGTCTGTCCCCAGTGAGGGCACAGCGGCGTTTTCTGTTTTCTCATTGCAAGAGGAATAGAGGTTCTGGTTAAAAGGCACGACTGGTCAGAAACACCGCCTCATCTTAGACTGCTTCCTCTACCATTTAAATTCCTTGTTATGGCTCTGCCTCTAATCAAGGAGGAAACAATTAAGCAGTGTGCTTGTGCTGTTAATTAGGCTCAGCAATTTCTTTTCTAATACAAGGACTTGAGGGCTTTGAATACAAGAAGGATTTGCAGCTATATCTAAAAACCTGATGGAGGTAGCGTGAGGAGCTGACTTGCCCTGCTCAGCATGTTATTGCAGCACACAAGCACTAGGTTGTGCTACTGTATGTGAGAATTTCAAGGCAGTGAAGACAGTCCGGACACCATCCAGAGAGGCACCAAGAATTGAGGCACATTCATTTAAAGAACAGAACTTTTAATCAAGCGAATTCTCATTTTTCCTGCTCCCCTTCTACAAACCTGCAATACTAACCGTGCAGAATGCATTGCTCGTCAGGCTACGCGTGATCTCCTAAAACGTCCTGGCTCCAGTTACAGAGCTGATAGCGTTGTGCTGGCAAATGGTGCGGTGCCTGTAAAATCACCTCAAGCTTTTTCTTTCTGTTATTGCTGATATTTGCTACTTAAAATACTAGGTGAACAGACCAGCATATCTTTTCTGCTGATAGCCATCAATTTTGTGACGGGTTTTTCTCACTAGTGTTACAGGCAGGAAAAAAAAAACATTCCTAAACTGCAAATTTTAAAAATAAATACTAACATGTAAAAACAACTTAAACCTTTCAGAGTCATTTCAGATAGCTGCCTTGCTAAATGGAGCAAATTAAAAGACATCTAAACCTATATTTCACTGATATAGTCAGTAAAGTACGGTAAAGCAGTTTTTTCCCTTGTCATCAGTTATTTTGGTAAAATTGAAACTAGAACTGAGGTTTGGTTTGTTTTTTTTTTTTTTTAAATGAAAAGCTCTGAACTGACATCATAGTGAATTTTATTATTGCCTTGTTGAGGCCTCAAGCTTTGGCTAACACTACAGTACAGTAAGCCATGTTGTACTTGGAAATACAGTATGCCACTAGCAGCTAATTTTCCAGTTTTAGTCCCTGGAATGGCTTCATATTTTGTAAGGTAGTGCGAATGGCATTGCATGAAAAGAACATTTATTAAGCTTGCGCTCTGTAATTGCATTTAAATGAAAATTGGCTCAACTTGTACTTCTTCCTGTTACTGATAGCCTATCTTAGGTCTAATTTTGGAATAATCAAATTTCCAATCACTGCATATTATCATAATCTTCAAAATTGGACATAAAGATTGCCCTTTTTGTCTTTAAATCAACACATTCAAGGAAGTATTGAGCTGAAAATCAGTAGTACTTTTATAAAGTATTTTCCATCATTACTGCCAAAAACTACCACAAATATAAACCTCTAAAATATTAAAGGCTGGATGATTTACTTTGTAATTTTTGTCTCTTCCAGAGCTTTCAAAGTGAATATTCAACACCAAAGTCAGGATGGTGCTAGTTTAACAATAGCATTGTTTAATAGTCTTTTAAAAGACCACCGTGTTTGCCACTGAATTGATTTGAAATGAACCCTTTGATCTGTAGCGGTGTTGCTCAGCTTTTTGCATTCAGATACCATTAGCAGCCCTCCGATTTCATCCTGCAGAAACGTACCAACGTTGAAGTACAGTGGTAACCCCTGTGGAGAATACAGCCCGGTATGTTTGCACAGACCACGCGCAGACTGGTACTGTGATTTCACAGACCACAGCTCAGGACTGCTCATCCATAAGCCAGATCCTC